TTCCCTTTTCCGGCGGGTGCCTTACCTCCCTTGGGCTGGGCCAGCTGGTGGTCGGCCTGCTCCGTCTCTGCCGCTTGCCAGCTACGCCTCGGCCGGCGCAGGGGGCGGAACCACGCATACGCGGCGCTCCCGGGCAGGGAAAGTCCTCAACTTACGACCGGTTGGGTAGTCCTCAACTTACGACCGGTTTAGTCCTCGACTTACGACCGGTTTAGTCCTCGACTTACGACCGGTTTAGTTCTCGACTTACGACCGGTTGGGGTCGCGGCATTAAAAAGGTTGAGAACCACTGCTCTACACAGACAGTAAGAGAGCTGCCAGGGGTTCAGGAATGGGGATCCTACTCATACCAAGTGTGAAATACAGCTTTAGGTAGGGCATTTTATTCATCTGGTCATTTTTAACTTTACGTGGTTCAGTAAATAGTAAAATAGCATGTTACCGCTTGTTGTTGCCTTGTCTCTTCATTAAGGGTTTTTCTCCTCTCTTCTGCTTGTATCCGGACTTGTTCGTTCTTCAACTGTTCTACGGCAGCTTCGTATTCCTAGGGATAAGGAGAAAAATTAGTCAAGGAGAACCTGCGGGAAGATACGTTCATCCCCAGCTTTTTCATGCAAGAAATTCTGTTAAGTTCCCCAACTGAAAAAAAAAAAAAAGCTGCCTCTCTAATCTAAAGGCATGGACTTGAATCATGGCGATCTTAAAAGTTTGATCTAATAATAATAATAATCTAATAATTTGATCTAATAATAGCAACTTGCAACATCAAGATGAGAATTTTTACAAACAGAGTTGGAAGGGACCTTGGAGGTCTTCTAGTCCAACCTTCTGATTGAGCAAGAAATCCTGTACCATTTCAGACAAATGTTTGTCCAATCTCTTCTTAAAAACCTCCATGGAGGCAAGCTGTTCCTCTGGTTAATTGTTCTCAATGTTAGGAAATTTCCCCTTAGTTCTAGCTGCTTCTCTCCTTTATTAGTTTACATCCATTTTTCTTGTCCTGTCTTCAGATGCTTTGGAGAATAGATGGACCCCCTCTTCTCTGTGGCAGCCCCTCAAACATTGGAACACTGCTATGATGTCTCCCCTAGTCCATCTTTTGACTAGACTAGCCATACCCAATTCTTGCAACCGTTCTTCGTATGTTTT